GAGAGACCATCCTCTAAATCACTAGCACCAAATCACTGGTATGTACCATAAACAAGTGCTTATGAGGATGATGTCAGATCAAGAGGTTGAATTTTGTACAGAGGAATCAACCTGATGTTTAAGTAGATTCAGCACAGTGAAAAAGCATATCTTGGAGGCGGAGGCAGGATATTATTTTTACTAATTTTTTTTCCCCTCCAATTTCCTAATGCTGATATTGATCTAAAATTCTCTTGCCCTCTTTGGAAGTGAAAAGGACTGAAAAACTCTTGGAAACTTTGAAGGTCTTTTTAAAAAAAAAACATAAAAAAACATAATTACTCTGGTATTCACGTATAGAGAGAGAGACAGAGAGGAGATACCAGGGAGGTATTTCCCCAATACTGAAACATTTGGGGGCTAAGATAAGATTTCAAAAGTATATAGAGTTGTACCAAAATGAGCTGTACTGAGCTCAGTATGATTGGCATTGCTCTGCAAAACACACACTAAGTGCTGCAGTCATTAAAATTAAGATTTTTTTTAATAAAATAAGCCAACACTTCAGAAAAACGGTTCACAGAAAAGATTTTACAAATCCATGATTCACTAAACAAATAGTTCTTAGCATGAGTACTGTAGTTAAAAGAGTCACTATTCAATCAAAAAGCTCCCCAAATGCTACTTTTATTTTCCTGACTTATTATGCATACTACCTAAAATATCTGCGATAAATCTCTAATGGTGCTATTTGTTCAAGTTTTTATTAGTTCTCTGATGCAAATGATTTTCTAGTGGAATTTTAGCATACACTCCCAAAGACAAGACTTCATGGTAAACAGTCTCAAGCACAGAATTTTGGTTATTTAAATCTGCCCATTACCTGTTTAACATCTAGAGAAGACTCAGTTATCAGAATTATTTTAGATCCTCTAAGGGCATATATATACATAAGCATGGTAAAATACTCAGAAATGTTTAAACAGATGCTGGAAAAGCAGTGCAAGAACCAGTAAACATGCAGTTCCTGCATTTTAGATACAAGCATGTTCACACTCAGCTTAAACCAATAGGAACAAAAACTCTCTGCTTAAATCATGGATGAAATGGTGTACTATGTCTGTGTTGAAATAGACCTAAAAATATATACTTTAACTTAAAATAATGATTTTGTGTATTAGTCTTCTGTTATCAGGTTTACTCGTTTAATGTACCTATTACTTTTAGTACTGCAAGCTTTAAGTACTTTAAGTACTGCAGCACTACAAACTATCTATACTCTATATTCAGCTTTCTTTTCATTTTTTGGAAAATTGAAGACCTCTTACAGCAGGTGTATTGAAGTATCTTCTGTTTCAAAATTCATCACTACTGGCATTCCACTCAAACAACAGATCTACACCAAGGAACGAATCTTCCCTGTGAATAATGAGTGATTCCTCTTGGTTTACACGTTGCGGATTCATGCAGCACCACTTGCAGAGCAGGGTGGTAGAGCTCCATAAGACAACTCACCTATATGGTCTCACCCCCTGTGCCCACTACCCAAAGGCCGAAGCCTTCGACAAATGTTGTAACAGAAAAATCACAAATAAGACACAAAACAATCCACTAAAACATGAACAAGACAAGACCAGAAGAAACACCAAAGCTTCAAAATAAAGTTCTTTACTTCAAAATAGTGTTTGAGAATAGCACTTCTAGTTAATACAAAACACAAATAGCAAGTTACCATTTTTCAATGGGCCAGTTTGCAGAATTATATACTGAAACACTGTACAAGTTCACCAAAAGTTTTATAAAATAGACAAGTTCTCATTTTTAATTCTATTTAAACTAGTTTTTCACATTTGTCTCTAATTCTGCTTGCTTTAATTATACAAGGTGCTTATTATAAGATTGGCTATAGAGTGAACATTACAAAACAGAATTTATGAATATAAATATAGAAAGGAAGTCCTATATACTAATAGTCTCTGCTACAAAGATACATTTTACAAAAGTGCTAATATTTCTATGACAAATAGTAGCAGACTATACTTAAATGTCAAACAAAATCATAAAATTAACAATTTTTTAATTAAGTCTGTAATAATTTGTTACTCCTAGTCACTACAAGGGTTAATAAACACAGTATTTTCACTTCCTACTATCTCACCAATGAAATGAGAAAAGAAATAATATACCTGTGTGTGTGTGTGTTTTAAGGGAGACACAGAGAGAGAGAGGTACATAGGTATATATGCAGAAACAGAGCTCTTGCTGTATTCTATTTAACAGTACTAGTAAGAAATGTTAATAGTAAATACATTTCCATGTTTTTCATAATTTCAGTCAAAAAAGGGGGTGCCTGTAAGTAGATACAATGGTTTGTGTATACTAAAACTATATTGGCAACCTTTTACAAAGAAAAACGACTGCCAACATTGACATTTTCTTTTTTATACTACATTGTCCCATGCTAAAAGTAATCTTTACTAACATCCACTACTCACTAAAAGCCTGAAATATCAATGAGCAGTTTTCCAGCACAAGACTGGCACTGCCCAGGCATGGCTGTGCTAGATGGGCCTCCTTTTCCTCAGCCTCCAAAAGCACAGTTGGAAGAAGACACAACCGCAAGTCATCCCTGTGGCAAGAGGGACACCAGGAAGGAGAGCTACCAGGCTACCTAGCACGTCCTCACCACCACGGTGGCATCGAGAGGCCCACACGGGGCAAGGCCCGGCCTACACTTTCTCCAAGGTGCATCAAGTCCCAGAGCTCACTCTGATGCCCCCAATTTCCCCAGAGGCATTATACCTTACAAAGGCAAAACGCCTCCAGGCACTGCCACTCAACCAAGGCACTCTTCCCCCTTCCCAGTGTGGCTCAGACTTTTAGGAGTCATAATTGAGCCCCATGGGCCTGATTCTGAGCTCAGTGAATTTATCACTTTAACTGTATCATTCCTTATTAGTGTGCCTATTACCATAATATCTTTGTGCTCTCTATCTCAAGCTTCTCCAATGGAAAATTCTGACATTAATGGAAATGCACTTAGTTTATGCAACTGAGAGATCTGAATCTGGCCCAGTAAGTAGGAATTAAAAAAAAATAAAGATAAGAATCACGTCTTGTAGTAACTACCAAAAACAGATATGACGCCCTCTGAGTAAATCTGCATTGCATTAGAATATACCACAATATTGCAGATGCTAATGCAAAATGTACCACCTCTCAGATCCATAGCACAGTTGAGGATACAGCTAGTTTACCTTCAGTGGTAACTTGCAGTAGTTAGCACTACTAGTCAGTGTTCATAAGAAGAAGCTTTTGGTTAATGAAGACACTGTGTTGACTAAGCTTCACATTCCTGTGATCTTTAGTTTGTCACATTTATATAAACTGAATTCACTACAGTGGAAAGAGACATTTAAGGTCAACTCCCTTAACAGGGATATACTGTTAGCTATCGATGACTCTTGTAACAAGCCTTACATTTACGAGATCCAGCAATCCATATATGCGAAATCTGAAGCATAGATACCAAAGTTTAGATATCTGAGATCAAGACATACAGGTGGTTTACACAGGAGAGTTATTGAGCTAAAGTGACAGACCAGAGAAACTAGCAAACAGCAAAGAAAATGGGTGCCATTTTTCCTAGATTTGGGAACACCATAAATTGGTATGATGAGATTCATCTTCAAATTGCAATGATAAAAAAAGATATTTTCTGTGAAAATCTGTAATGGCATCATAGGGGAAAAGGCACTCTAAATCCTAAATATATTTTAAACATATTACCACATTCCCTCTACTTTAAAAAGATATCAAACATCTTAAAATAGCCTTAAGAAGTTATTTTTAAACAGAATCATAGAATCATTAAGGTTGGAAGGGACCTCTAGAGGTCACCTAGTCCAATCCCCCTGCACATGCAGGGTCACCTAGAACACGTGGTACAGGACTGCGTCCAAGCGGGTTTTGAAGATCTCCAGAGAAGGAGACTCCACAACCTCTCTGGGCAGCCTGTTCCAGTGCTCTGTCACCCTCACTGTTAAGAATTTTTTCCTTAAGTTAACATTTAAAATAAGTGTTTGAGAATAAACTATATATTTACTTTTTACATTTGATGAAAAATTCATTAATAGGACAACTTAATTTGTTTGTTATATCCTGTTTAATTTCTGCAATGGATCTCTAAGGATCTTTTTTACCCAATGAATAATAAACATTAAGCTTGGTGATACTGGTTGTAAAGCCACAAAAATTTACAGGGCCACTGTTACACAGCTTTAGAGTCTACATTTTTAATTAGTTAATTTTTGATAATTTCCCTTAATTGATAATTTTTAAATTTTTTTTGGTCCAAATGCATATTTTATGCCCACCCCTTTTTCTAAAAATAAGCACTTCAAGTAATTCTAAAGCAAAATGTAAGTAAGTTTTCTATTCTGTCTTGTATCTATGAAATCTTGGTACTCTAATAGGTGGCAAAACTCAGATTGACTTTATCCAAATCCTTTCCTTTTATCAGTACTAACTATGGAAATACCAAGAATCAAATGTATGGGAAATATGAAACAAAAGGAATATTTCCTGTGTGACCTCTATAGCAAAACAAACTGTAGATTCCTGTTGCAGACTTTTAAATTAAGCTTAAAATTAAAGAACAAGGTTACTTTCAACCTACAGAGATTGAAATAAAGGCATTTCACTTTTAAGAACTCTTTTAAGGGTATATTATGTATGGAGACATTCGAACATTTAAGCATGAAAGTAGGTAAAGGCAAATACTTAAGGCTTTGCCCTGTAGTCTTTTTTCTGACCAAAACCTGTCACTAAATTCAAGTGGCAGTTTTGCCCTTGGACAACCTGCAATATCAGGCCTATAATTCAGTTGCAGTAAACTCTCCCTTTTACAAAGCCAAAAGGAAGCTGGAATGTAGCTTGAGTTTCACATACAAAACTATACAATTTCTGTCAGAATGCAGGTTTCAGGTTAAGATTTTTCTTAAAAAAAAAAAAAGAAAAAAAAAAAAACCAAATTGGTATAGGAAGTAACAGTGCAATACCAGTGGGCTGTGTGATAATCTTACCTTGTCTTTCTTCAAAAGTATTTAAAGAAAAGCTCTCCAGTTGTTAAGAGGATAAAATAAAAAGGGATAAATATTTCATGATGGGAAGCAAATCCCACAGCATTCCATGCAGATTTCCAAACAATCTGAAGATTCACAACACGCGTCCATTATGCCACAGTCCATATCACAGGGGCAGTTACAGTCATCCCCCATCTCATCCCCGCAGCAACAACAGCAGGCCTCCGACGTGCAGATGCCACAGGATGCTTGTCCCAGAACTATGTTACAGAGGGTGAGAAATTCACAGAACAAGCAGGCCAGGATGCAGTGAACACAGCAATCTTGGAATATCATATATTAACAAAGAAAAGAGGGAAATAAAAAAGAAAAAAGAAAAAAGTTAGTATGTCATTCTAAATACAAATGTATTTATTGTATAAATGTAAAAATCTACTTGTCCCGTCTATAATTTATTAAGTGAAACATCGACATTATTATCTTCAGTTCTAAAACCCCTACAGCAGGCCCATGAGAGAAAAAAAGTCCTAGCTTATGAACAAAAACATCCAAAGTGACTTCCAGCCTCTCCCAGTGCATCCTGCCTTTTCAGAACTGTTTTGTTGACTTGATGGTTACGAAGGAAAGCAAGGGAGTTATCACAACACACCATTTTTGCTTTCTTTACAATATCATTCACACCTTAAAAAGAGTGTAATGCATGTTATATGAATATATGACAACAATATATGAAATATTCAGTTGACATATTTTTCTTTTCCACACAAGCATCTTGGCAATCCTTCTTATGCCTTACATTAAGCTTCAGTAGAGTGTATACCCACACCTGATTTCATTGGTCATAGGTACTACTAAACTATATTAAGGAATTGAGGAGGCATCCTACAACCGTCAACAAAAAATATAGCACCCCACCAATAAATATATGGCACAACGAAAATAAATTAATATGCCCACAAGACATGTTAGGAGAAGAAACACCAGAACTAAACATTGGCCAATGTAAAGAAAATTGAAGGAGTGAAGGATATTCTCTCAGTGTCCACATGTGCATAGTAATCACATAATACAGATAAAGAATATTTAAATTGTTAGAATAAATACTCTGTGCACTACTTGAACAGCACAGAAAGCAAATGAAAACTTAAAAAAGCTAGAAATCTTCAGGATAAAGAATACAGTTCTTTCTTAGCCTTTTTCCTAGCTTTTATTTCTGTCTTTACTGCTTGCAAGGCTTGAATTCCCTTCCTCACTGAAGGATGAGAAAACCATATCAGGGGTTCTGGGATGTCACTCAGTCTCATCACATCCTTTCCCTTTCTGCATACTCTGTGTTAGGCCACTGTGAGGCAAGATACTGAGCTATATGGACCTTTCATCTGACCAAGTACCCGTGTTATGCTATTACCATTCACAGGCTGAAGACCTGCGACAGGGGAAAGTTTGGGATTATTGGCAGTAGTAATACCAAGCCACTTAAACATCTTTATTATACTAACACCAATGGAATAAAGTTGGCAAATATCTTGGTTGATACTAAATAAATCCAGAGGTAAATCTAGAGTAAATCTAGAGAAATTGTGACTGTGTGGTACGGTGGCCTTAGAGCTGACTTGATATGGATACTCACCGCAGCACCATGACAGAAGTTGACAGTTCAAAACTGCCTGTCCACGAAGCAAAGTAACTATGCAAGCTCTGAGCCCACACTGGGCTCCATAATCCTGCAGATTGATTTCTCCATGCTAGTTAGTCAGACGTAGCTTGGGAATATCTGTACTGCAATGTGCTCACAGTCATCATGCACATATTGAAAATATATGCCCAAAAGGAAAAAAAAAAAAAAAGGAAACAACGGGAAAACGAAGAAGAAATAGCCCTCAGAAATTCCGTATCATTAGACAGGAAGCAAAGCTGTGAGAGGGAAACACAGATAAGATTGAGCTGTTTTAAAGGAAAGTAGTAGCCTGCGTTAAAAGGTGGCTTTTCTGAACAAGTACTGTAGCTGCATAAATGACCTTCACTGAAAGCCCAGAAGATAGGTGAAATAAAGCTAGGCAATATCAGCTCACTGAAGAGGACCAAAGCCAGACCAAGAGCAATTAATTAGCTGGTTGTCATGGAGATGGTGTTAAATTTGTTCAGGTACAATCTCCTTTCAGATTTTCTTTTAATATGAAGGAAAAAGACAAAGAAGCTAACAGTTCTATGTAAGAAGTCTTCATATTTCAGAAACAATTTTTTTTTTTTTTACCATTTTGTATTCTTAAAAGAAGTTGCTGAAAAAAAAAACAAGTAATACAATTTAAAAATGTAAACAAATTTTGTCCTGTGAATGTCTTCTTAAACAAAACATCATAAAAATGAGTAGTAAAAAGAAGAAAATCTTGTCTGACTCATGCAGGAATATGTAAAATTACAGTGGAGCAAAATAAACACAGAAACTCGTACAGAAACGTGCATGTTATAGTTGCCATAGATGTGCAAGGGACACAGCTTATAAGCTATCAATGGACTGCACTGAAAAGCACTTTCTGGTCTCACAAAATACTTTTCCCCCCAACCTACAAGCCTTTACACTAGCAGATACTTGGAAGTTTGTTCTTTCCATCTCTTTGACTGACTGAAATACTGAAAGGGCTTATTTACCTATATTCTGATTTGTTTCTGTCTGGATTGCAAAACACATTTTCCACTTACTTACAAAATCTTTACATAGCATTTTTTCCCCATGATTTTACTTAACATATTCATAAACACTTTATGTGAAGTTGAGATACAAAATGAACAAAAGCGCTAATCCATAGTTCAAGGACATATCTGAAATAATCATGCTTTTGATTTTGTTTCTTGTTTTTTTTTTTTTCATTTTAATGGTTTTTAATAGTTAGCCTGGCAGAAATTATTCAATGCATAGAAAACATGCTGCTACCTAACCCTACCTAACCTGCTGAATCATGACTCTGAAGATTTGTAATGCATACTAGACAAAATAAAAGAGTAGAAGAATATTTTTTTCCATATGTTTCTCTTATTAGCTTATTTTCTATAGATGCAATTATAAGGAAAAGTAGAAGATACAGCAACAGCGGTTCCTGCAACGGCAGTAAAAAAACTTAAGGCCTTGCAGCACATCAACACAATAAAGAAAACTCACATATCATGATCTGGTACCCATATTCATACCCTAAGTACTTCCTTTGGTTGCTGTTTTGGGGTCTCTTGTTCACTGAAATCCAGACATGGAGAATTTGCTAGATAAAACTGACTTCAAACGAGACAATGTCATTTTTTTTTCAGTATCATTTTGGAGACTGATAAAATATATTCTGCTTCCTCATAATAATAGACCTGTTCAAAGACCAAAGAGACTATTTTAAATTACAGATCACTTTACTTTTAAAAAACAGTTCTAACATGTTAAGAGTAAAGACTATACTTCAAAAAGTGCCAACATAGTTTTCAGTGGAGTTAATTTCCACCCTTTAACCTTACTGCATTAAGATCCTAACAGACTTTGCAGATGAGCATGTAGTGGAACACATTAATCCAACTAGAACTAAACTTAGTTTATATTTTGGAGTAGATAGGGGGAAAAATAAAGTAAAATCAGTGATCTTAATTTCTGAGACTTTTTTTTTTTTGAAACTAAAGATATTCTAGTCTCTTGTTTTGCTGGTGAAATGATATCGGTTACACCTTAGCATTTACATTAAACAGAAGCCAACTTAAAAGTATCTATTTCTTGACTTCTATCTTTTTTGGTCTGAATTAACGTATATTCACAGAATGGTTGAGGTTGGAAGGGATCTCTAGAGATCATCTAGTCCAACCCCTCTGCTCAAGCAGGGACATTCGTAAACATACTAAGGCATAGCAACGGTTCTTCATTTCCCATTAAATAAGCTAAAAGAATTAAGGACTGGGGGTGTCCTTTTACCAAGAACAAAACTCCATTTGCCTTGATATTCATGATGAATTACCACGGATAAATAGCTATTTTCCAAGCTTTTTGAGGTTTAAATTTTCACTTAAGTATTTCACATAAAAAGAAAAAAATCATCCCATGTCTTAACAGAAGCCCACCATCAAGAAAGAAAAGCCTTCATCTTCACAGTTCCTTTCCTCGGGACTTCCAGACTTCCACACTATCCCATATAGTCTCAAATTTCCATTGCTTTTAAATACTTTAAATGCAAAGATGAAAATGTGGTCAGCTACACTTTACAGAGGAACTGTTTTGTGCTCATAAAACAAAAGAGTGCATCTGTGCTAGTTCTTTAATCAATTGCATTTGTGATTTCAGCTTACAGCTGGGTAAAACCAGATAAGCTTTCAAGCATGCAAGCTCATCTCTAATTATCCTTTTGTTTTGCCTGGGATGAAAGTTAGATTCGCCACCCTGAAGTTAAAAGGGTCATCCCATTTAGCATTTTTAAATACCAGTATAAGTAAAGCTGTGTCCTTAGTCCTTTGGAACTTGCCCAAAAGCTAAAGATATGCTAGGGAATTTTCTGAAAACTGGTAGACAATGCCAGGGCAAACAGGAACCCAACCAACGCATCCAAGATTTGTTGCTTAGATCATATGCACACAGTCAGCTACTCTGTGCTGATTTAATCACACTGTAAAAGGTACATATAACATCTACTTTAACTGGGTAATAAATAATACCTCAGAAAACACAAGAGGTAGCTTAAAATCCCTTAAAACTGTTTATCCACTGCTACTCAAAGCCCAAAGGGTTTCATGTTAAATCTAATTCTGGTTATAGCAGGAATTATAACAGCCTCATTAGAGCCTGTTATATATCTGGTTATAACAGGCTTATTAAAGGAAAAAGAATGCAACAACAAAACAACACAAATTTAGTTTTTATCCATGAAAATGTTTTGAAACATATGCCCCTGGTAAGGATTTTTTATTCCTAACACCTTTGCTCTCATGTCTAATTGCCTTCAAATCCAGAAATAGATAACTCTCCTAGTTCGACTTCCCTTTTATCACCTCCCCTTCATTTTTGCAAGAACACGCAGCTCTACTTACGGCACAGATTTTAAGAGAACTACCATGTGACCATTTAAACTGCACAAGATCAGCAAAAGTTAAACTGAAAAACGTACAGAAAACACACATGCGGGCTGCTCTGTGCTGCTTTTGTAATGCTTGACACTAACCTGTCACAAACTGACCCAATAAGCTTTCATGCCAGGCAGGCAGGTCACACACGATAAAAGGTTCTCATGTCTATAATGGTAAATAAGCTCACTTAGAGAACGCTGACCTTGGTCCGCTTTTTACTAACTATATTCACAGAGTTCAG